AAATTTCAAAAAAATTACATGGAATCTTAAAAAAAACATCGGTAAGTAATAACTACAGAAATAAATAAAGGTAGTAAGTAGTGCACCTTTGCCCCTCCAAATACAACAGTGAGAACAGAAAATGTCACGTGGACAATAGCTAGAACAAAGATAAAGATGTGTAGATGATGCACAGCTTCAAGTGATAATAGAGGAACTTTATCCTGCAAACAAAACACGGAGTACATGTTAGCAAAATAAATGTATGAAAGTGCATATTGAAACAACTTACCCAAAAATGAACAAGGGAAAAAACAAAAAATTAAAAGAGTAGAAACTAAATGTAAAAGACACAAGTAAAGAATATTTTTGAGTTGACTAGCTTCATTTGTCTCTGCTCACTTTTTCTCTTCCATATTTTGCTTCTTCACCTCAAAACAGATTCACCGTCAAGAATTACTTCACTTTTACTATGTAAAGCAATTCCTCACCAAGTGCCACAACTTCACATGGAAATAACTTTTTTATGTATCAATTACAGTAGTGCCAAACCCTCAAGAGATGTGCTTATTAACAACCTAGAATACTGCTTACGACTTCCAAACACCCACGAATGATAACTAATTCAACAAAGCTTTCAATCACAACAGCCCACAATTCCCAATTTACCTATAACTACCAAGTAAGGAAGAGCAAATAGCATTTTCTCCTTGAGCTTAACCATAATACGATAATCCATGTCTGAGCAAAACCAATAACCGAATATACAAGCTTGCAAAATCAATGAATACTCCAATAAAGCATACAACAGTTAAAAGTAAAGCCAGAAAACTAAATAAATTAACCTTTGCAGCACAGTAACCTCCAGCAGCTTTTTCAGCAAGCAAACGTCGATTATGCCCTTTCGCTTCAGGGGAGGTGTTTGATTCATTCCCACCAGAAGATTCGGATGGTAATGAGCATGGTAAAAGATGCACCATGATATCATGAGGCACACAAATCTTGACTATACGGCCTTGGAATACAGTTAGCATGAGAGATATGAACCCAAGGAGCATCAGTTCTGTCGAAAACAATATCATTCGCAAGATTAAAATCATAAATTTATATTCAAGAAAATTGAAGATATAATTATCAAATAGTATAACAAGGTTTGCCACATTAACAAAGAAAGCCAAAAAAATGATTAAATAAATGAGACATGAAAGGAAGACATACATTCGGGGAAGAATGAAAGAGAATTGGCATAATGGGTGAAAGTTACCTTCTTTGACCTTCTGTAAAGCTTCAAAGAGCGGCTTTTGGTTCTTCCTCTTCAAAGTCTGCACAAATTTTGCAAAAGGTACAAGCTCACGCGTTAATAGAAAAACAAAGCTTTCTAGGAACAAAAACGAATTTGAAAAAAAAACAGAAATCACTAACTCAAGTGTGAACAATTCAAATCACAAAAGCTAATCGTAACAAAAAAGGTACCAAATTTCCATTTCTCCAAAATCAAATCAAATCAATTACAACAAAAGAGGTGAAAAGGGTCCCAAATCATGGTCTACATTCTCAAGCTACTGACAAACACATTACATACAAACAGAGGAGATAAATGAGAAACCTTTCCGGCGCAGTGGAGGAGGCGCTCGGCCGCCAGAGAGATGCCAACGATGACGCTGCACACGGCGGCGACAACCCACGTCGGCGTGTACTCCAACGTCGTCCCTTCCCCTTCCCCACCGCCGGCCATTGCCCCCTTTATTCTTTTTCCAAGAAGAGTGAGAAACAAATCACAGACCCAATTCAAAAAATTTCACTCCGTAACCAAACGGATAAATTGAAAAACAAAAATAAATACAATGGGTTTTTAGGTTTCGCGTGAATCTTGTGAAGAACCACGAGCAATGATGGTGTGGAGAATTTGAGACGTGATAGCAACACTGTCTGTGTGTGGATTTTTCAATAAATTTGCGAGTAATTGCAGGCGGAGATTAGAAAATAGTAGGACACGTTAACGTTATTCTCACTCGTTTCTACCATTATTTTTTATTATCTTATTACAGTCAAGACATGTTTGAATTAAAGGAGGAAAATAGGATTAAGTGTGGGATTATCTAATACTAAATAGATTTGTTTTCGTTTTGTATAAGAATTGCTAAGATAATAATGATTTTGTTAATTTTACAAAATACATACTTTTCGATTAAGAAAATTAATTGTCTCATAGTGGAACAATCGAATTTAAATTTATCAATTGAAGTTTTATGTTATATTTACTGACTTGCATCTACTTCAATTCGAATCAGAGTTGCTAAACCAAATGAATTCTTGTCGAGCACAGGTCAACTTGACTCATTCATTTATTTAATTGGGTCAAACTCGAACAACTAATCGAGTATTATTATTAAAAAGAGTTGAACGAATATTGTTTGCAAATAGTTCATTTTTAATATTTTAGTTTTTTATGGATTTTAAATGAATCAATCATCTCGGACTTTTTGACGAACAACTCGTTTAATGTTTTAAATTTACTAAGTGAATCAAGCCGAGTCATATTTTCACGAGCTCAAACGAGCACGAGTTCAATCATAAGCTACTCAGTTCAATTCAATAACACCTCTAATCCGATATCTATATACGTATTTTTTAAGTCTTCTTTATATACTGATCTATAAAGTGAAATATAAGATAAGATGTGACATTGGTAAAAAAAAAATGTTATTAAGAATTGTATGTTATTTGGGAAAGTGCTGTTTTTATGTGAATAATTTAAAGTTCCATAATGAAACTGCATTATTCAATTGTCCACGCATACATGAATAAAAATAATACTTAGGGTTCAAGTAATAATGATAGTTATGTTAATGCTCATAAATCTTGAGCTTATAGCCTACGAGTAAACTTGGACGTGTGCCATTTAATTCAAAATTAATTTTTTTTTTTCATGGATTTGGTCAACCAAACCTCTTGCCTTCATTTGTTTCTTCGTGGCTAAGCATGAATATAAATCAATTATATGAATTATGCAATCGATAGGTTTAGATTTCTACTAGTCAACCTCACCGCAAGTTTGGAAATTAATTTGTAATCAATATATATAAGTTGTAGTTAAAAGTTATGCTACATTTTCATAATAATTTAAAGATTAATATACTTTAAAATAGATTTGGCAAGCATCCATTAATCGCAACATTATAAATTATTAGAAAAGGCATTCAAAATTTCGTGAATCTGACAAGTTATAACAACAATTCATACTTCTTAATTTCTATCATTCTAGATAAAATATTACAAATTATAGTTTTTTTTTTTTCTAATTTATTGGAGATGATCAAATGCGCTAGGTAAAAGGTGACACTTTTACCCTTCTGTTGTGAATGAATTTTCATATTTTATAGGATAATGTACTATGTCATACTGTAGATTTCATTTATCAAAATGCAAAAAATCTTAAAAAATAATAATATTATTATTATCCCCACTTTATCATTTTCTTTTGTGTACAGGGCTTATTGAAATCACTGTGTCCCATTTTATGATGTTATCTTTTTGAATTTTCTGAACTTTCTTATTATATATCTTTAAAGTTATGCTCGTATAGCAAAAACATTTAATCAACTATTCAAATTACTCAATTCATCAAATAATAATTTAAATTAAATTATCAACGTCCAGTCATTCATCATCAGTTACTCCCTACATTTCGTTCTACATATTGCCTTAGATTTTTATTTTCCCACAAAATGTAAGAAAATATGTCATCATATTATTCAAATTGTATATCTATATATATATAATTACTAGCTCAAAACATTTAATAAAACCTATTTAATTTTACCTATGTGGCAATTTAACAATTTTCCCTCCAGAAACCGTTACATTTTGATGTATTTAATCTTTCATTTAATCATTAAATAATTAATACTCATCACTTCAAAATTACAAAAATTATTTTAAATTTTTTATTAATAACAGTTGACCATATAATGTGTTGACCGTATAATGTGATTAGATGTTATTATTGTTGTTACATTTAATTTTTTTTTTTTAAATAAAAAATATATTTGAAATTCCTAAATAAATAATAAATAAATCACAAATAAAAGATGTACCAAAATATACATTACATCCAATCAGATAAACGCAATTTAAAAAAAAAAATTCAACTCTTTTAATGGTAAATTTAGTTTGCAAAAAAGTGAAAAAAAAATAATTAATCATTATATGCATACAGACTTACAATAATTTATTTATATTTGTGCAAATGCACAAGTGGAATACTAGTAATGTATTAAATATTAGCTAGTGATTCAACTTTTAATGATAAATAAATGTTAAATCGATCAAGACATGCGAGCAACAATATCATAGCGCTCATTAGTTGACCTCTATAAACAAAGATTTCGCCGCATCTGGTGGATGATTGGCAAACGAATTAGGTCAATTCATTGCCTCATTTCATCCACCCTTCTATATCATGGTTGTCAATAAATAGGTGTAAAAATAATTATGTCCCATTGAATTACCATTTCTTTATTTATTTTTTTATTTTATTGTGCTTATAGGTTTTCTTAATAAAAAGTGCAAGTAACAGAAATATTAAATCAAACATATCGCTGGTAAACTTGATTCATTAAAGCGAGCTCTTACTTGTTTAGTTTAAGGCTCGAATATATAATTTTTTTGTATAATTTTTAATAACTCATAGCAGTGTCTGAACTTGTTTATCTTCTCATTTAGTTAAGAGCTCAGTCTCAATCTCGGTTCAACTCGTTTGCACTTACATGCAACTGAGAATGGTAACAAATAAAGAGAGAATTCCCACAATACAAGATGTATACACCTACACACCTGAATTCTGTTTACTTTATTTAATATCAATCATACATCTAAGATAAATAAAATAATTAATTTATATACAGAACAAAAAAATTATTTATAGAAACATCTGGCATTGCAAATATTACATAACTGGTCAACAATCAAACGTATAATATATGTTGAAACCTGTAAAAAATGAATTAACAAACCAAACAAGAGAAATATCAATATACTTCGAAATCGATTCTCAACTCAACAATAATACAACTTAAAATCTCATGTTTTTGGTTCTGAACATCTTCAGCATTAAGTAAAAATATATGATAAGAAATAATAACCAATAAAGGGGGAAAATGATGGAATAAGACAAAGGCAATCACCTCATTTATGTAACAAGGGTGAGTAGTCTTTAATACAAGATATTGATTAAAACAATGCTATTCTATACCAAGCAAATCATGTACTTATGCTTCACCGGAATCTGGTGTCGGCATCAATATACAGTCGTGCGTAAATGTACAAACCACTCGAAGCATCTCAGAGGCATGTTTGGTTGGGTCTCTTTCATAATCCAGGATTGCAACACTAGAAAATAATCGTGCAAAATCATTGGCGCATTGATGCTCATAATACCTTTTGAAGCAGCCGAGGATTATGTCCGTTTCTAATAGAGCGATTCAGAGGGAGATGCAAGGAGTTAATGGCAGCGTTTAGAATAGCTCCTCCGAGTTAAATTTATTCCAAGCTTCCTGTTAAGAAATATGAACTTTCGAACTTAAGGGAAAATTCTCACAAATTTGAAAAAAATGATTGCTCGTTGTTTTTAGTCACTAGATTAAGCTTCATGGGTACTTTACACAGGCATTTGATATGGGGATATGGCAATCATATGTAACTCCGCCATGTAATTTTCGACAAAGAGAACACTTAACATAAGATGTGAATTTCACAATTTTAATGGAAGACATAAAAAAGGGAAAAAAAAATGAAGAAAAAGGAAAAAGATCAAATAAAAATATCTGAATAATACCTTTAGCAGGTCGAAAACCTTCTCAGCAATATATTTCTGCTGAAGAGTGGCGCCCTTTTGCTGTACCTTGTCAGGGTGAATGCATAATGTTGCTTTTCTATAAACTTTTTTGACAGAGGCACCAGTGATCAAATCAGTCAAGGAAACAGGCTGCCACCCACATTCGGGCCAAAGCACCTGCAATGTTGAGAGAACAAAAAATAAAACCAACACACAGGAAATGCAAAGTAGTTAGACCTAAAACTGCTAAAATCAATTAAAGCACACTTAATAATTATGAAAGGCGACTCACGTATTGTAATGTTGACAGAAGGGCACGCAAATTTCCTTCTTTACCAGCAGCCCAACGTTTGATTTCAAAATCCAGTGTCTCGGCAATCCTCTGTAATGAAGCCAGTTGATATTCAGACCAACCAAACATATTTGAAAATTTATAATACATCAGGTTTTATTCATTTGAACATCTCAAGTTTGCAACCATATTTTGAAAAACTTCAAACAGTCAAACTGATACTAGTGGAACTTCAGAAGTTCTTGAACAAAATTTGCAGAACGTTCTTCCAGGTAAAGAATATCAAAACTAATACAAGATTAAGGATGCAATTTTCTGAATATCTTTGCTACACCAAAATCCATTTTGAGAAAAGGCATCTGCAGATCAAATTCATTATTCCAAGGAAAGCAATTATAAATTTCATCAGGAATAACCATGTAGGGGTAGGTATCAATTTCATGCAGGAACTCACATGTCTCTCTTCTTGTTCTCTCTGAGCTTGAAGGTCCCGCTGATTTTTTTCAGCCAATGCTTTTGCCTAAGAATGCAAAGTCCCAGAACTCAATAGCGGAAAGAATACATAACATATAGAACATAACAATAAAGTTATCCTAAAATATCATAAATTTTGAAGAAACTCAGCAGACACTATTGCTCACTAGAAGACACAAAGACATACCGCTCTCTCTTGAGTGCGCTGGTGGCGATCCAGTCTGGCCCTTCTTCTTTCTTCAGTTTCCCCTTCAACTTCCTGAAACTCTCCAGCCGATGGAGCAGCTTTGGAAGAAGATTGTTCGAAGAATAGTCAGTGGGACATGCTTAATAACAATATGATATTACAGATGATGTAAAAACTGACATACTCCCAAATATAGAAGATAGATCATCGACAAAATTGGTAGTTGAAGAAGCTTTCTTCATGTTAGATGTGGCACCACTAGTTGGCGGTGTCCTCTTAGCAGCTTCAGATCCACCTTTGTTCTGGAACTGATCAGAAAACGGATCCTGAAGAAGAGACCAAAAGAATAGAATAAGATCCTTAATCAAACGTGCAAAGTACAATATACATTATATAATAGAAGCTCATGTTAACTAAATTGAAAAAATTGCACTCATGGTCCCAAGTGATTGAGCCTTAAAACACTTTAGCTCCCATCATTAGCTTTTTCCTTTTTCTCTGCCCACCTTTCGTCCTTGTACACATTTGGCAAAGTTTTTTCAATATCGGGTAACATTAGCAAATTACAGGATAAAAAATTTCAGAAACTGTGGGAACCAAAACTGCAATTGTCTGCAGGTATAACGCTGTTCCCATATTAAACTTACAGTTGGGTTAGTTCGAGCTCTCGGTGCACTGCTTGCTCGGCCCATGTTGAAAAAGGATTCCAGATCATTATCATTCTTTTGTTGATTCATCTTTGAAGCTGCAGCTGCCCTTTCTCGAGCTTCTGCAGCGGCTCTCTCCCTGGCCTCAGCAGCTGCCCTCTCAACGGCAGCTCGTTCGGCTCGACGCCTGGCTTCTGCTTCAGCCCTTGCCACAGCAGCTCTGTCCCGAGTCTCTTTCTCCCTCGCTTCGGCAGCAGCTCTCTCCCTAGCTTCTGCGGCAGCCCTTTCCCTAGCTTCTGCAGCAGCTTTTCCCGCTCGTTCTCTAGCTTCAACAGCAGCTCTTTCACGAGCTTCGGCTTGTGCCCTCTGAACGGCTAACCTTTCAGCACGGCCACGAGCTTCAGCATTTGCCTTCTCAACAGCTGCCCTTTCAGCTTTCAATCGAGCTTCAGCCGCTGCTCGTTCACGTGCTTCCCTGGTAGCCCTTTCAACAGCCTGTCTGGCCTTCTCCCTTTCAATCTCCCTTGATCTCTCCCTCTCGAGCCTCCTCATCTCTCTTTCTTCTTCTTCTTCCTTCTGCTTCCTTTCACGTTCTAATCTCTCCTGAGTTTCCTTGAAATCTTTTTCGTGGCTATCTGTTTCATCTCTTTCCAGTGGCCCGGAGTCCTTATACCTGGCGGCTTTTGCGTACTCTCTTTCACGCACTTCCTTGGCATGTCTGAATTTTGCCTCCGCTTTATCCATAGCATCCTTCATTGCAGCAGCTGATGCAGCAGCAGCAGAGAAAGGATTGGTGGACGTGTGACTATTTGTAGTTTCATCAGCACTGTTTTGTGACCTGTTCATGGCAAAATCATCAAGCTCATCAAACTGTGATGCCTGAGGGCTCTTCTCTGTGGACCAATCAGGCTTAGGACTTTCAGGATGATGAGAATTGTATGAAGGTGAAGAGAACTCATCGCTCTTCTTTCTAGAACTTGAAAAATAGGAACCCGACTCTGACTTTGAAGATTTACGGGGTATAGGTGGTGGAGGTCGTGATGGGGGTGGAGCAGTTGTAGGATGCGTAAAAAGTGGAATCTCTGAAACAGTGAGCCAAACATCATCATATTGATGTCCCGGTCCTTCTGATGCTGGCGACATATCGACCTGTGCGCTTTTTTCATAATATTGAGAAGAAGCATTTTGATGAAAAGATTTCTGTGAGTCTGTCGAAACATTAGGCATATCAAATAAGGGAGGCTCCTGAAAATTGTCCACAGGATCTTTCTTTGCTGTATTGCTCTCTGAGTATCTGAAAGAAGAGTTCCCGGGCATTGCTGATCTGGAAGCGCTCCCATCCTTCCCTACATGATCCTTCCCCGAGGAAAATCCATGTGCAGAATTTCCACTAGTGCCAAGGGGGTCTAAATTATCAAATGCTCCACCTGTACCTGATGAAACTTCAACCCTTGCACTCCTAGATTTACTAAGCTTACTAATCTCTTCCAAAGGATCGGTAAATACCCCAGAAGATGAGTGCGGAGTAGAATCTGATTCAAGAACTACGAAAGGATCATTCAGAATATTCCCGTGCTTTGAAACAGAAGTGGGTACAGAGCCCCACCTTGACTCTGGTATTGGTCTGTGCCACAACAGAAAATAAAGATAATTCATTAGCTTAACTTGAATATATATCAGTATGAGCCAAAGTCTTTAATATGTATTTCATGTATTCTTTCAAAGCTACCACAAGCACAAAAATCAACAGTACTCCCAATCGTATTGGACTTGATGTATATATTTTACGAAATTAAAACTTATGGCAAAAATTTAAACTCTATTAGGCTATCCACATGTGAAATTTAACCTTAATAAAAAACTAATGTTCCGGTCGTTTCCATTTACGTAATGGAAAATGAACTATTAAGAAGTCTGGGCAGGGTGAAATTTAACCTTAATTCCGGTCGTTTCCATTTACGTAATGGAAAATGAACTATTAAGAAGTCTGGGCAGGGTGCTGCATCTCTGCCTCCATTTCCATTTGGCTTAAATGTATAAGCTAAACCAAGAGTTTCTATTTTCTGCCCTTCATATTTTAGCAAGCATATAAGCTTCTGCTTTTGTGTCAACAATAGTAGCTGATTGTGGCAGGAATTGCTCCAAGCTTATCATTCAAAAATTCTCAGTATCTTCGTCAAAAAATGATGATACTTTCAATTCATTTAACCAAGTTATAATTCACATAATAAAAATCAATATCCTTTGAAAGAAAACTATAACTTAGTACTTTAGAGGGTTTGGTAGACCTACTAACATTTTTTTGTATGTGGTTAGCACTTAGCACAATGGCAGTCAAGCAAATGGATATAGTCCGTGCACTGATGCTTAACTCTAGCCTCCATCTCATCCTGATACATAATTTCCAACATGTATACACAATCTTTTCGCATGAGGATACCTTCATCTAACTAAATGTTATTGGCAAGAAAAATGACTCCTGGTTAATTGCTTGTTTTTTTTTTTACATTATTTAAAGTTCTAACTTTCGCAAGCAAAACTAGCATCTCAAACTAGTTCTGAAATCAAAAAATTGATTATTATTTCTCCTCATAGGAAACTAAATCATATTCAGATTTCCTAAAGAAAGAATTCATTGAAACACTCATCTCCCTAGCAAACATTTTCCGCATGAATGTTACAAGATCAGTAAATTGTGATGACTTCTTACTCCCATATTGTTTCATAAATCAGAACAAATATACACAAGCAAGAGCCAAAAAATTAATACAATAATATACATTGAATTTGTAAGCTTCTCTGAGATTAAAAGGGATATTATTTAATAAGGTCAGCAGATAAAACGAAATAAATTTGATCTTCTTTCATTAGTTCCAATAGAAGCTACATTTAAAAACAACCCAGGATCATCTTCATTACACGAGCTAATTGATGTGGAACCAAAGGCATCAATGTTTTTACTTCCAAAAATAAATGAAGCACGATATTTATTCATCAGTACCCAATTAATCTAACCATTTTTTAATAGAAGTGGCATTTAAAATCAACAGCTTTTAAATCAAACACAAACTACAAATGACTCTAAGCTTTTAAATCAAACACAAACTACAAAATGACTCTATCGGAAATCTCAATTACATTGATAATGCATCTCAATAAACCATTCAAATATTCAATCATCCTGTTCAGCACTGCTAATCCAGGCGATCAAAATATCAGCATAGATGCCAGAAGATTACCTGTTGCTAGCAGCAGAACTGGCACTGCCACTGCCAAACCCAGGCAACAAATCATCGAAGCCCTTTGTACTCGAGCTGCTCTTAGCACTACTGCTCATGTTGCTCTCCCCAGCCTTCTCATTTCTCCCCAAATTCCCCAACAAATCATCAAAACTACTGCCCGGGTTCCCACTCCTGCCCGTCGGCGGCGACGAAATCGTGGAGAACACGTCATCCTCGAACCTCACAGCCGCTGCAGCTGATTTGTTCTTCAAACCCGGCAACCCATCAAAGATATCCTCATCATACACAGGCTTGTCGTACACAGGCAACGAGGATGCCGGTTTATTGCTGCTGTTAACACTATTCTTGGGCTCGCCCGCGGCCGACGACGACTTGAAAATTGAATCGTAATCAAAATCGTTCATTGACGAGTGCTTGTTGCTACTATTGGGATTCTTCGAGCTTGCCGTGAAATTCGGCTGCCCACCGAAAACATCGCCGAACAACGGATCGTCAATGGATCGACGATCGGAGGGTGCGGACCTCATCGGATTGGATTTTCCACGGGCCCCGAGCCCGAAATCTCGGGCCAGCACGTCCAGATCATCCATCGGGCAGAACCAAATCAACGGCTCAATCTGCAGAACCAGATCCAATCGGAAGAAACTGCAGCGTCCAGGGTGAATCCAAAAAATCGATCGGAAAAATTGGGTGCCAGAATATGGGGAGATGCTGGTTGGTGCTAGTGCTGAGACATGGAGATTTGAAATGCAGGGACTGTAATTTTGATTTAGGGTTTACAGTTTTCTCTCTCTAGAAAAGATGCAACGTCCCTGTGTCCATGTTCTCCGTTGTCTTCTACTCTTTTTCTCCGTTGCTATTATTATTGTTATTTTTCATTTTACCTTTTTCCAATTAAACCAATTAAATAAGAAGACAAATACTAGCAGCAGTGAAAACCAATGTTCCAAAGCTTAAACGAGCCAGTAAATGAATTTAGTTCGTCTATTCATATTAATGTGCCAGAATTCCATACTTAATGAATTAAATTATAGAAAATTATATAAACATTCGAACCGAGCTCATGTTGTAATTAAAAAAGTTCGAGTCAGAACTCATGTTGTTAACTAAAAATGTTATAAGTAATGAGCTCAAGTTTGACTCATTTGCAAGTCTCAAGTCTTAAAAAATCGAACCGAACTTACGAGTGACTCGTTTGACTCGTTTCTTTTAATAGCTCCGACCCTAATAATATTGTATTAAGAATTATGAATGAATCTTTAAGTAATTATGATACTAACTATAATAAAGTATAATATAAAAAATACTCATATAATTTATGTTAGATTTGTGCAATTGAATAATATCAATCGTTTTTTTTTACCTTAACATAATAAAAACACAAATCATTTATGAGTTGTCCAATCGAGTAGAGTGGACAATCCGCCATATATTCTTTTTAACGAAATTATATATTTTTATTATTAAATGACATACTATTTTTTTACTTTATTTTAATTTTCTATTGAAAGATTGTTATTCAATTCTTTGCCAAGCTTCATCATTCCTCTTTTTTAACGAAATTGTATATTTATAATATTAAATATATTATACTATTTTTTTTTATTAAAAATGTATGATTGTTTAATCGCCGATAAGCTTTAAATAAAAATTTGTTTGTTTGTGTTCCGGAGACCTGTCTATCAATCCACCTCATATATTTGTAATTAATTTTGATTTATACAAATAAAACTATTTAATAAAAAAAAAATCAAGCATAAATGGTCAGTTAGTGTAACCGTAGGATCAATTTACAGGCAGTACCCTCATGGAGTGAAAACTCACTTTTGTGTGATCCTGTAGTAAAAATCCCATAAAAGCAAGGTAAAATTCACCCCTGACCATGTGTGCTTGAAAAGATTCTGTTAGCTGCTACATCATTATTCTGCAAAATTTGTAGAATATTCAATTTGTTTGACAAAATAGAAAGGCAAGTAACTTATCAAGGCAAGAAAAGGAAAAAGAATGCTGTAACTTTCATGGCTACTTTATAATCAAGTTCATTCATCTTCTTGGTGTATTCTCATGGCTCAAAGAAAGTATAAATTAAATACACTCATTATTTAAACTACACATGAGGCAGATTTCTCTATCCTTTTTTTCCATTTTTCCTTTTCTGCTTATTGCAAGCAGTCTACAATTCTTTTACAAAAGGGCTGGGTATCCTTCCAGGAAGTAACATTTATCCTCCTCCTCCTGCACTCTACCTTCCAATACAAAACTGCTCGATTCACCGTTTTTTGCTGGAAGACAATTTAACGCAGTTAATACAATTCAACGAGACAAAATCACTTCGCGTCACCACCCCAAACACTATCCCAGCCTCCGCCACTTGGAGCAGCCTTAGGCCCCTCGATGAAGTTTTGAGCCCCCGGTAAATTTTGACCTTCAAAGCCGGGAGGATGAACTTTATTGGCTTTTGTTCGAACTCCCAACAGTCTAAGGACAAATCTTGCAAGCTCTCCATATAGCATACCCGACCGATCAAATAGCTGCAAAATGGAAAATCCGAATTAAACTCACTGTCATTCCAAGTCGAGCTATTTTTTTTTTAACT